CACAATCATCATCATCACCATCATCATCATCTTCATCACCAACACCAACACTACCATCACCATCCACACCATCGTCACAATCATCCTCCTCCACCTCCTCATCATCATCAATGCCATCACCATCGTCATTATCATCACCACCATCATCAGGATCCATCGCCGCAGGGGCCCGATTTCCAAAGCCCTGGCAGGAACAGAAGCCCCGTTGGCAGGAACAGACGTTCATTTCTGATCATGGAGCCACAGCCCAGGGACAGCCTGGTGGGCGACAACAAGGGGTTCGTGCAAGCACGCCCTGGCCAGGAGCGCCGGTTGGCCGCGCCCCACAAGCCGCCCCCCGGCAGCATGGATGAACCTCCTGCTCCGAAGTAGGAAGCCATGGGCCCAGGTGTGCATCCAGGGCCAAGATAAGGAGCCTGAGGGGGTACTGGAGGCCCACTGAAGCTTGGGCGAGGCCAGGGGGGCTCACCGAATCATGGAATCTCCCCCTGTCGAGGCCGCTTCCGGCACCACTGAAACGACCTAACAACGCCAACTTGGGCGCTCGGGCTCGTCCAGCCAGCCGGCATGCTCAGCCGAACAACCAACCGTCTGGTCCCAGGATCCGTGGGCAACCGTGCCCCGCTCTCCAGCGACGGGCTCTCTAGTCTTATGTTGTTCCCATCCTACTTAAGGACCACATCCCAGAAATAATTTCGAGCACCCAGAAGAGTGTCAAAAGAGTGTCGAGACAGTGTCGAAACAGTGCCGGGCGAGTGCCTCCCAGGGCCCGACACGTGAAAACCCTTTTGAGTTTCGGTACTTTTTGCTGGCGCTCGAGATTCTGTCTGGTGATCGAGGCTGAAAGCAGGTTGGACCCTCCGCCTCCGCCTCCGCCTTCTCCTCCTCCTCCTCCTCCTTCTCCTCCTCCTTCGCCTCCTTCTCCTCCTCCTCCTCCGCCTCCGCCTCCTTCTCCTCCTTTTCCTCCTTCGCCTCCTCCTCCTCCTCCTCCTCCTCTTCCGCCTCCTCCTCCTCCTCCTCCTTCTCCTCCTCATCCTCCTCCTCCTCCTCCTCGAGAGGCGATTGCGGAGTCCTACGGAGCAGCTCGCAGCATACACTACTGGGCGCGCTGGGGCGGGGCTCTCCGCTCTCCGCCGCAGCAGCCCCGCCCGGCTCGACGGGGGGAGGGCCGTCGTCCCCGAGCCGGCCCCCCCCCCGCCGCCGCCCGAGCTTCGGGCCCAGTGGGGCGCTCGTCTTTCTCGAGGGGGGCGCTTCCTCCTCCTCCTCCTCCTCCTCTTTCTTGAGGGGAGCGCTTCCTCCTCCTCCTCCTCCTCCTCCTCCTCCTCCTCCTCCTCCTCCCCGTCCTCCTCCTTCTCTCCCTCTCCTCCTCCTCCTCCTCCTCCTCCTCCTCCTCCTCCTCCTTCTCCTCCTTGTCTACCAGCGCCGGCTCCGCTGCCACCTCGGGCTTGAGCTGGCTGGAGACCTTTTGGAGTGTGGCGACTGCGGGGGGAATCGGCTTGCTGCTGGCGCTGAGCATGCTGGGAGCTCGTGCCCCACCTCCTCCCGTGTCCGATGGACCTGTCCCGCACGAGAGCCTGGGAGAAGGCAGGTGATGCGAGCCACACCCAACAAAACTGCCAAGGCGTGCGAGGAGGCGATCATAAGTCCAACGGCCGCACACACACACACACGCACACACACAAACACACACACACACATTCACACACACACATTCACACAAACAACAGACGCACACAACACACACAACACACACACAACACACAACACACGACACACACAACACACAACACACAGAACACACAACACACACACCTACAACGCACACACAACACACAACACACACAACACACAGCACACACAACACACAACACACAACACACAACACACACACACAACACACAGAACACACACACACAACACACAACACACACCTACAACGTGGCACACACAACACACAACACACACAACACACAGCACACACAACACACAACACACAACACACACAACACACACAACACACACAACACACAACACACACAACACACAGCACACAACAAACAAAGCACACACACAGCACACAACACACAACACACACAACACACAACACACAATACACAACACAATCAACACACAACACACAACACACACAAGCAAACGCACGCACGCACGCACGCACGCACGCACGCACGCACACACATGTACACGCACGCGCGCACGCACGCATGCACGCACACAAACACACACTGGCATGACGGAGGCAGCGAGCGATAAGGGGGGCCTCTACCGTCGGGCCGCCGCCCGCCGGGAGCGCGATTCTCTGGAACTGGTGCAGGCTGCAGCGGGGCAGCGGTATCCACTTGACCCACCCGCCTCTTGCATTTTTCGTTGGGCCGGGACCGACCGTCCTGGCGTTCCCATAGTCCTACCGCGAAATTTCTTAGAACCCAAACATGTTCTAATAACCAAAACAAGGTTCTTACAACGTAAACCCGATGTGATAAAACAAGACAGACTCCGCCAGACATGTTCTAAGAACATTTCGTGGGAACCACAAAAGGTTCTTAGAACATTGTTTGGTAGGGCTATAGGCGAGCCAGGACGCTTCGCCACTGCTTGATGTCGGGGGGCGGGCACCAATCGGGCCAAACCACGCTGACACGCTGCTGCTTACATGCTGTAGGCGCCGGCTGGAGCGGACAAAGCTTGCCCCCGAGACGCTTGCGTGTTGCATTCCAAAACAGTGTTTGCCTTCTGCGAGCCGTGAGGCAGGTCTGAGGGTGCCAATAATTCAGCCAACGATGGGGGTCGCGCGCTGTGAGCGACGCCCCTGGAAATTTTGCGTCGGCGGCTAGGCAGAGGGTGACTGCGCTGGCGATGAGAGGCTTAAACGGGGGTGCCGTTGGAGCGAATTGTGCCACCACGCAAGAGGAGAAGGGAGGAGGGACGCGGCCGAAGGACAAAACATACGGGGCAGGCAGCACAGGGGTCAGAGCGCCCCCCGAGCGTGTGGCGCGGCCGGCCCCGCCGCGGGGCACGCGGCGGCTGCTGCGACATCGGGCCGGGGGCGGGACCCCCCTGACACAGACACGAGTCCGACGATGTCCGCCGGACAGCGCGGCGAGCAACTGGCTCAGCCCAGGCCGCGGGCGCTCCAAGGGAGCGGGATACAGAGGCCAGCGGGCGAGCCCGGCCGATGGCCAAGGGGAGAGATCCGAAGCAGACACGAAGGAGAAGGAGGAAAGAGGAGGAAAGAGGAGGAGAAGGACGCCCCTCCGCCCCGCCCGTCCAGCACCCACCCTGCACACACGCGTGGGAACACGCACGCACGCCAACGCAGCCGCACAAGCCTCCCCCCACCGCCCCACACACCCACCCACCAATCCCCCTCCAAAATACACACACACACACGCACACAAATCCAGACCCACACCCATACGCACACGCTCACGCACACGCACACACACACACACGCACGCACACGCACACGTACACGCAAACGCACACACGGACGCACATACACATACACAAACATATACACATACACATACACGCACACGCACATGCACACGCACACGCGCACGCACGCACGCACGCGCGCACGCAGGCACGCACGCATGTACACACACACGCACGCACGCACGCACGCATGCACGAACACACACGCACATACGCACAACACACACGCACACTCATCACACACACGCACACACGCACATGTACACACAGAGACACACACACACAAACACACATACACAAACACGCACGCGCGCACACACGCACGCATGCACGCACGCACGCACACGCACACACACACACACCCGCACACACACACACACATCCACACCCACACGTACATGCACACGCACACGCACACGCACACGCACACGCACACGCACACGCACACGCACATGCACACGCACACGCACACGCACGCGCACGCGCACGTGCACGCGCACACGCACACGCACGCGCACACGCACACGCACACGCACTCGAACACGCACGCGCCCGCGCACACGCACGCGCACGCGCATGCGCACGCGCAAGCGCACGCGCACGCGCACGCGCACGCGCTCGCGCACGCGCAAGCGCACGCGCACGCGCATGCGCACGCGCACACGCACGCGCACCCGCACGTACGCACTACGTACGCACTCGCACTCGCACTCGCACTCGCACTCGCACTCGCACTCACACACGCACACACACACGCACACACACACACACACGCACACACACACGCACACATCCACACACATCCACCACATCCACACACACCGTCCACCCACCCACAAACACACACACACACTTGCGTACGCACACATGTGGTCGATCAGCCCGGGAGACCACAACAGCACGGCAGACAAGCACCGCAGACCGCATGATCATTATATTGTGGAGGGTCGGGGTTTGACGATCGAGGTTCAAGGATCGAGGTTTTGCAGCGTTGTTGGCCTTAATTGGGTCTCTGGATGCTTCTCGTCGGCTGGGCTGGATTCCCTCGCGAATTTTATCTCAAACGCATCCCGGAGGAGAGGGAGAAGAGAAGGGGGAGGAGAATGAGGAGGAGGAGGAGGAGGAGCAGGAGGAGGAGGAAGAGGAGCATTAGGGAGAAGACGACGACGAGGACGAGGATGACCCGGAGGAGGGGGATGAGGAAGAGGGAGGAGGGGGAGGAGGGACGAAGGGAGGAGGGGGAGGAGGTGAAGGAGGATGGCGAAAACGACTGGGAGGCAGAAGTGGAGGAGAAGGAGGGGAGGAGGAAGAGGAGGAGGAGGAGGAGGAGGAGGAGGAGGAGGAGGAGGAGTCGGAAGAGGAGGAGGAGGAGAATGAGGAGAATGAGGATAATGAGGAGGAGGAGGAGGAGGCGGAGGAGGAGGAGGAGGAGGAGGAGTTAAGGAGGAGGAGGAGGAGCAGCAGCAGGGCCCCCCCAGACCCAAGCATGGTGAGACGCGCCCAAAGATGCGTCAACCAGGGCAATCCCTTCCTCGCCCGAATTCCTCGAAGATCTGGTCGTTGACTTCCCTGGCGTTGTAGAGGTTCTTCCCGTCCCCATCCTGGGGGCGCCATGGCGGGGATGCCTCCCCTCCCCCCGTTCCCTGCTCGGCGGTGGGTGGGCGCTCCAGCGCCTGAGCGCACCGAGGATGGTGATGATGATGAGAAGGAGGAGGAGGAGGAGGAGGAGGACCCA